GTGTACTCTGTATGGGGGCTTTCAATGGACAGATGTTCAATGCCTGGACTGGATCTTCTGGGACCCCCGGGACCCCTCCCCCCAACTCACACACACCAGGATATCTGTACAATTCAGGCTTTTAATATGGGCAGATGGGGTGGTGAGGTACCTGCACCTCCTCAGATCCAGCAGAGGGTCCCATCTTGCCTGCCATGGCATAGAGTGTGCGCTCGGTTATCGCATCCTTCCTATGGGAACGATCACGGCCAACACACATAGACTGTCCAACCAGCTGGAAAACCTTCCAGTGTGCCAACGACCCCTGGCAAAGGTCAGAAACGCGCATTATGCCCCCCACGGGTGACACCGGGCATTCAGCCCACAGATCCCCTTTACACGGCACAAATCTGGGCCACCCCCCCACTTCTGTCCCACAGACACCCCGAGCCTTTTACCCCCAGACTCACGTCTCTGCTGATCCGCCACCCAGGCATGACGGTCCGCGGCGAAGCTGCGTCTGCAGAAGATGATGCGGTCAGGAGAGGCGCCCGGGGCTCAGGACTGCCAGTGCTGGAATTATGTCAGGAAACTGAAGGAATGATCCTGTCCTACTTTCCTGAGCGAGCTTAGCTCAGCGCGGGGCCGCCGGGAGTCGGGGATCATCGCTCTCCACTAGAAGGCACACAGATCGCTGCTAATCTCTGCAATCTGGACACGGACTACAATCCCCACCGCCTCATCCGGGAGAACTACAACCACCAGCAAGCCCCCCATACACACAGCCTAGGTTCCAGATACACAGACTGAAGTGGCCCTGTCATGACGGAGACACGGGGCCGCCACTGCCGGCTTCCTTCTGAAAATGCCAAGTACCTGGCCGATATGCTGATCCTCTGGCTTCAGTTCTGAGCCACCAACCTGGAACATTTCCACAGATCGAGAAAGTCAGGAACTCTTACTGTGGACCTTCACTCAATGATTACATCTTTATGTCATGGAACCCCCCCTTTATGTCAATGATACATATGTCATGGAAAACCCCCCCCCCCCCCCCCCCCCCCCCCCTCAATGATACATCTTTATGTCATGGAACCCCCCCCCCCTCAATGATACATCTTTATGTCATGGGAACCCCCCCCCTCAATGATACATCTTTATGTCATGGAACCCCCCCCCCCCCCCCCCCCTCAATGATACATCTTTATGTCATGGAACCCCCCCCCCTCAATGATACATCTTTATGTCATGGAACCCCCCCCCCGATACCTCAATGATACATCTTTATGTCATGGAACCCCCCCCCCCTCAATGATACATCTTTATGTCATGGAACCCCCCCCCCCCTCAATGATACATCTTTATGTCATGGAAACCCCCCCCCCCCCACACTTCAGCAATGATACATCTTTATGTCATGGAACCCCCCCCCCCTCAATGATACATCTTTATGTCATGGAACCCACCCCCCCCTCAATGATACATCTTTAATGTCACATGGAATCCCCCCCCCCTCAATGATACATCTTTATGTCATGGAAACCCACCCCCCCCCCCCCTCAATGGTCATGGAACCCCCCCCCCCTCAATGATACATCTTTATGTCATGAGAAACCCCCCCACCCCAATGATGAGATCTGTCTGTACAAATGAACCCCCCCCCCTCAGTTGAATCACCATCTTATGTCATGGAAACCCCCCCCCCATCATGATACATAGGATTTATGTCATGGAACCCCCCACCCGCACACCCTCAATGATACATCTTTATACATGGAACCCCCCCCCCTCAATGATACATCTTTATGTCATGGAAACCCCCCCCCCTCAATGATACCATCTTTATGTCATGGAACACCCCCCCCCCCTCAATGATACACTCTTTATGATGTCATGGAACCCCCCCCCTCAATGATACATCTTTATGTCATGGAAGAGCCCCCACCCCACTCAGAGAGCGCTACAACATCTCAAAAGCGCTACAATAACCCCCCCTGGGGAGTGCTAAAAATGACATCTTCACCCCCCTCCACCCATAACACACCTCCCAGAGGCTAACAATGCGTGAGAGCGCTACAATACACTCCCTTCAATACACACTCCCCTTCAGAGAGCATGCTCAACAATACATCCAATCAGGAGCCACTCCCCTCAGGAGCGCTAAACAGACACCTCTCCAGATGAATGTACCAAAAAGAATGATCCCCTGATGACATCTTCACCCACACAGTGGATGTACATGCACCCCCAGGAGAGCGAATGCAGCGATTTTCATCAGAGAGTGCTACGCAGACAGACACCTACTGATCCATGTTCACAAACAGCAAGAGGAACAAATGGCGACCCTTACACTGCACACAACAACACACGTGTACATCAAACACACGTACGAGAACAAACGGCTGTGCCGTGATCATACACAAGGAGGTGAGGGCCAAACATGAGATTCTGTCTGCTACAAAATCTAGGAGTTATACACCACCAGAGAGGCTTATAGCATGAAAACACCTCTCAGCACTAAACCTTCCCACAGCAGCTAACAATAGGGATTCACACACCACTGATAGATAGCACAATGCACACAGACAGCGCTACAATACACCCCCTCAGAGAGCGCTACAATACACCCCCCTCAGAGAGCGCTACAATACACCCCCCTCCAGAGAGCGCTACAATACACCCCCCTCAGAGAGCGCTACAATACACACACCCTCAGAGAGCGCTACAATACACCCCCTCAGAGAGCGCTACAATACACCCCCCTCAGAGAGCGCTACAATACACCCCCCTCAGAGAGTGCTACAATACACCCCCCTCAGAGAGTGCTACAATAAACACACACACTCTCAGAAGAGCACTACAATGCACCCCCCCAGAGAGTGCTACAATTACAGACTGCACTACAATACCACCCCCCCAGAAGCGCTACAATACACCCCACAGATCACCTACCCACTCATCGCTGTGTATCACTCTCAGGATCCCCGACTGACACCACACAGGACTGGAGCTGCCACATTCAGCTGACAGGTTTTCTGGCTCTCCTGGCAGCAGCACAGCTGGACCTCATTAGCCGGCAGGAGCAGAGATGGGAACACCTGAGAGCAGAGCCATCCTAGCCGACTACAGAGCACGCCTGGAGATCCTGGACTGTATTGTGTGGTGGGGGATGCTGCACTGCGTGGCGGGGGATCATGTACTGCGTGGCGGGGGATCATGTACTGCATGGTGGGAGATCCTGCGTGGTGGGGGATCATGTACTGCGTGGCATCATGTACTGCATAGTGGGGGATCATGCGTTGTGTGATGGGGGATCCTGCACGGCGTGGTGGGGGATCATGCGCTGCATAGTGGGGGATCATGCGTTGAATGGTGGGGGATCCTGCTTGGCGTGGTGGGGGATCATGTACTCGCGCGTAGTGGGGGATCATGTGCTGCGTGCGGTGGGGGATCAGTGGTGCTGCGTGGTGGGGGATCCTGCGTGGCATGGTGGGGGATCATGTACTGCATGGGTGGGGGATCCTGCGTGGCGTGAGGGTGGGGGATCCTGGCGCAGTGTGGGGGGGATCATGCGCTGCGTGGTGGGGGGTGAGGGGGATCCTGCGTGGCGTGGTGGGGGGATCATGCGTGGCGTGGTGGGGGATCCTGCGCGGGTCGCACAGCAATCATTGGTGATCCATGGTCCCTGTACCTCTGCCAGGCCCCTCGCCGGGTTCGGTACAATCGCCCTCTTTACCCCAGAATACAATACTCAGTGCAGCTACACTGGGGCAGTACTGGGCCCCCATAGGACGCTCCCCGGGGTAGATTCGATGTCGTGTTCAGTGGGCAGTTGCAGACACGGAGAGCACAGAGTGTGCTGAGTCCCCGCCGCCGGTCCCTGAGCTGCAGAGCCATTTTCCAGAACAGTACACCCGTTTACTGAGCTGCAATCTCACGCCAATTATCTCCAATTATGGAAGAATCTTACCTCCCGGGGGAGAGCCAATCGCTGAGAGATTCACGGCAGATCGTCCCATACACTGACCACCCGGGGGAGAGCCAATCGCTGAGAGATTCATGGCGGATCGTCCCATACATTGACCACCCCGGGGGAGAGCCGATCGCTGAGAGATTCGCCGGCGGATCGTCCCATACACTGACCCACCCCAGGGGGGGAGAGCCGATCACTGAGGACTCTGAGAGATTGTGCAGGACAGTCAAGTTCCTCCACCCCAAACTGGCTCCTCCATGTCTTTATGGACCTTGCTTTGTGCACTGGTGGGCAGTCATGTTGGAACAGGAAGGGGCCATCCCCAAACTCCTCCCACAAAGTTGGGGGCATGAAATTGTCCAAAATGTCGCCTTAAGAGTTCCCTTCACTGGAACTAGGGGGCCAAGTCCACCCTCTGAGAAACAACCCCACACCATAATCCCCCCTCCACCAAACTTTACACTTGGCACAATGCAGTCAGGCAAGTACCGTTCTCCTGGCAACTGCCAAACCCAGACACGTCCATCGGATTGCCAAACAGAGAAGTGTGATTGGTCCCTCCAGAGAACACGCCTCCTCTGCTCTAGAGTCCAGTGGCGGCGTGCTTTACACACCACGGCATCCGACACTTTGCATTGCACTTGGTGATGGAAGGCTTGGATGCAGCTGCTCGGCCATGGAAACCCATTCCATGAAGATCTCTCTACACACTGTTGTTGGGCTCATCTGAAGGCCACACCAAGTTTGGAGGTCTTTAGCTATTGACTCTGCAGACAGTTGGCGACTTCTGCGCACTGTGCGCTTCAGCATGCGCTGACCCCGCCCTGTCATGTGACGTGGCCTACCACTTGGTGGCTGAGTGGCTGTTTCCCAGTGGCTTCCACTTTGTTATAATCTCACCAACAGTTGAGCGTGGAATATTTAGTAGCCAGGAAATGTCACGGATGGACTTATTGCCCAGGTGGCCACCTATCACGGGACCACGCTTGGAGCCACTGAGCTCCTGAGAGCGACCCATTCTTTCACCAATGTTTGTAGAAGCCGTCTGCATGCCTAGGGGCTTGATTGTATACACCTGTGTCCATGGAGGGGATTGGAACACCTGAATCACATGATATGGAGGGGATTGGAACACCTGAATCACATGATATGGAGGGGATTGGAACACCTGAATCACATGATATGGAGGGGATTGGAACACCTGAATCACATGATATGGAGGGGGGATTGGAACACCTGAATCACATGATATGGAGGGGATTGGAACACCTGAATCACATGATATGGAGGGGATTGGAACACCTGAATCACATGATTAGGGGGGAGGATTGGAACACCTGAATCACATGATTATGGGGGGATTGGAACACCTGAATCACATGATATGGAGGGGATTGGAGCACATGTATCACATGATATGGAGGGGATTGGAACATATGAATCACATAATATGGAGGGGATTGGAGCACACATGTATCACATGATATGGAGGGGATTGGAACACATGAATCACATAATATGGAGGGGATTGGAATATATTAATCACATGATATGGAGGGGATTGGAACACCTGAATCGCATGATTGGGGAGGGGATTGGAACACCTGAATCGCATGATTGGGAGGGGATTGGAACACCTGAATCACATGATATGGAGGGGATTGGAACACCTGAATCACATGATTGGGGGGGGGAGGATTGGAACACCTGAATCACATGATATGGAGGGGATTGGAACACCTGAATCACATGATTGGGAGGGGATTGGAACACCTGAATCACATGATATGGAGGGGATTGGAACACCTGAATCACATGATATGGAGGGGATTGGAACACCTGAATCACATGATATGGAGGGGATTGGAACACCTGAATCACATGATTGGGGGGGAGGATTGGAACACCTGAATCACATGATATGGAGGGGATTGGAGCACATGAAATCACATGATATGGAGGGGATTGGAACATATTAATCACATAATATGGAGGGGATTGGAACATATGAATCACATGATATGGAGGGGATTGGAACACCTGAATCACATGATATGGAGGGGATTGGAACACCTGAATCACATGATTGGGAGGGGATTGGAACACCTGAATCACATGATTGGGAGGGCGGGGACAATACTTGGGGCAATGTCATGTATAATGTATAGTGTGGATAATCTCTCTTCCTATTTACTAATGATAGCAGAATGAGGATTACGCCCGAGTACATGGTGATTGGGGGGGGGGAGGGGGTTCTGATTAAAAAAAAAAAAACAAAAACATCAAATCACAGCATTCCATGGAGGCGCAGCGTGCTGCTCTGCTCAGGAAGAGGGTGTCATAGATCAGGAGCAGGGTGTCATCGCAGGGTGTCATAGATCAGGAGCAGGGTGTCATCGCGCATTGGGTGTCATAGATCAGGAGCAGGGTGTCATAGATCAGGAGCAGGGTGTCATTGCAGGGTGTCATAGATCATCGCAGGGTGTCATTGCAGGGTGTCATAGATCAGGGTGTCATAGATCAGGAGCAGGGTGTCATAGATCAGGAGCAGGGTGTCATTGCAGGGTGTCATCGCAGGCAGTGTCATTGCAGGGTGTCATAGATCAGGAGCAGGGTGTCATAGATCAGGAGCAGGGTGTCATCGCAGGGTGTCATAGTTCAGGAGCAGGGTGTCATAGATCAGGAGCAGGGTGTCATTGATCAGGTGGTGTCATCGCAGGGTGTCATTGCAGGTCATTGCAGGGTGTCATAGATCAGGAGCAGAGTGTCATTGCAGGGTGTCATAGATCAGGAGCAGGGTGTCATAGATCAGGAGCAGGGTGTCATAGATCAGGAGCAGGGTGTCATTGCAGGGTGTCATAGATCAGAGCAGGGTGTCATTGCAGGGGTGTCATAGATCAGAAGCAGAGTGTCATTGCAGGGTGTCATAGATCAGGAGCAGAGTGTCATTGCAGGGTGTCATAGATCAGGAGCAGGGGTGTCATTGCACAGGGTGTCATAGATCAGGAGCAGAGTGTCATTGCAGGGTGTCATAGATCAGGAGCAGGGTGTCATCGTCAGGGTGTCATAGATCAGGAGCAGAGTGTGTCATTGCGGGTGTCATAGATCAGGAGCAGGGTGTGTCAGTGTCGTCAGGGTGTGTCATAGATCAGGAGCGGGTGTCATTGCAGGGTGTGTCATAGATCAGAAAGCAGAGTGTCATTGCAGGGTGTCATAGATCAGAGCAGAGTGTCATTGCAGGGTGTCATAGATCAGAGCAGGGTCAGGGTGTCATTGCAGGGTGTCATAGATCAGGAGCAGAGTGTCATATTGCAGGGTGTCATAGATCAGGAGCAGGGTGTCATCGTAGGGTGTCATAGATCAGGAGTCAGAGTGTCATTGCAGGGTGTCATAGATCAGGAGCAGGGTGTCATCGTAGGGTGTCATAGATCAGGAGCAGGGTGTCATTGCAGGGTGTCATAGATCAGGAGCAGGGTGTCACGGAAGCTTTCACAAGTGTCTGAGTGCAGCAACCACCACCAGTTCTCCTTTCAGGTTAAACTGTCACTGACACCCATTCCTGGAACATGTTCTTCCCACCATACATGATATCCCGGAACAGAGACCCCGACAGAGCTGTGTCAGTTGAAGTTGATCTGTGTCAGTGTCGGGTGTCAGTGTCAGTGTCGGTGTGGTGTGTCAGTGTCAGTGTCGGTGTGTCAGTGTCAGTGTCGGTGTGTCAGTGTCAGTGTGTCAGTGTCGGTGTGTCAGTGTCGGTGTGTCAGTGTCAGTGTCGTGTCGGTGTGTCAGTGTCAGTATCGGTGTCAGTGGTGTGTCAGTGTCAGTGTGTCGGTGTATCGGTGTGTCGGTGTCGGTGTGTCGGTGTGTCAGTGTCGGTGTGTCGGTGTCAGTGTCGGTGTGTCGGTGTGTCAGTGTGTCAGTGTCGGTGTGTCAGTGTGTCAGTGTCAGGTGTCGGTGTGTCAGTGTGTGTCAGTGTCGGTGTGTCAGTGTCAGTGTCGGTGTGTCAGTGTCAGTGTCGGTGTGTCAGTGTCAGTGTGTCGTGTGTGTCAGTGTGTCAGTGTGTCAGTATCGGTGTGTCAGTGTCGGTGTGTCAGTGTCGTGTCAGTGTCAGTGTCGGTGTGTCAGTGTCGGTGTGTCAGTGTCAGTGTCGTGTGTGTCAGTGTCAGTCTTGCAGCCCCTGGAAGGGTTACCCGATAATCCACCATAGAGGGATAATCTGAGGCTCTGATGACCCAACCGACCAGCCAGGAGGCCCCCCCTCCCCCCCCCACTGATGAGTTCAGGGTAGGTGGCCGCAGGCTACATACCCTCCATAGGCGCCAAACGTGAAACTCCTCTTCCTGTAGTTCATGGTGAGACGCTGTGCCAGTGTGGAGGGTGAGAGCCGGACGGGTCCGAGTCTACCCCTCCCCCCCCCCCCCTCCTCCTTTCCTCTTCCTCCTCACTAACACTCTGTGTGCTTCACTAAGTGCAGGAGAGAAGAGCGAGTCCCCTGTCACCCCATCCATCCCCCATCCATCCATCCCATCCATCCCCTCCCATCCATCCAACCATCCCATCCATCCCCCCCATCCATCCCCCATCCATCCATCCCTCCATCCATCCCCCATCCATCCATCCATCCCCTCCATCCATCCCATCCATCCATCCCCTCCATCCCCCCCATCCATCCCATCCATCCATCCACCCATCCCATCCATCCATCCCCCATCCATCCACCCATCCATCCCCCCCATCCATCCCATCCATCCATCCCCATCCATCCCCCCATCCATCCATCCCCCAATCCATCCATCCATCCACCCCCCATCCCCCCATCCATTCCATCCCCCCATCCATCCACCCATCCATCCCCCCATCCCCATCCCCCCATCCATCCCCCCATCCCCCCCATCCATCCATCCCCCATCCATCCCCCCATCCATCCATCTCCATCCCCCATCCATCCATCTATCCCCCTCATCCATCCATCCCCCATCCATCCCCCCCATCCATCCATCTCCCCATCCATCCCATCATCCCCCCATCCATCCCTCCCCCATCCCATCCATCCATCCCCCCATCCATCATCCCCCATCCATCCCCCCCCCATCTATCCCCCCATCCATCCCCCCCATCCATCCATCCCCCCCCCCATCCATCCCCCCCATCCATCCATCCCCCAGCCTGCCGGGACCTCTGCATCCACGTTGCCGCACTGCCCCCACCACCCGACACACAGCCAGGCGATCCCCAGACAGCGCGACATCCACCATTAGCTGCTACATTGTTACCAGGAATGATTGTGTGCCGGAATGAGAGTGATAACAATGTATCTATTATCTGGATGGGGGGGTTTACACTCTAATTCCTGCCATATAAAGGGGGGGGGAAATTCTGCCATTTTATGGGGGGGGCAAATTCTGCCATATAAAGGGGGGGGCAAATTCTGCCATCAATCCTCATCTCCATAAAAATGGGGGGGGGGCAAATTCATAAACCTTATAGCCATAAATAGAGGGGGGTTATCAAATTCTGCCATATGGGGGGGGGGGGGCAAATTCTGCCTTATAGAGGAGGGGGCAAATTCCCCCATACATGGGGGGGGGGGCAAATTCTGCCATATATAGAGGGGGGGGGGGGGCAAATTCTGCCATATAGGGGGGGGGAACTTCTGCCAAATCAAATTCTGGGAGGAGGGGGGGGCAAATTCTGCCATATAGAGGAGGGGGGGGGGGCAAAAATTTCTGCCATATAAGGAGGGGGGGGCAAATTCTGCCATACAATCTCTTGGGGGGGGGGCAAATTCTGCCAATTATAGAGGGGGGTGGGGCAAAAATTCTGCCATATGGGGGGGGGGGGGGGGGCAAATTTCTCCTTTATAGAGGAGGGGGGACAAATTTCTGCCATATGGGGGGGGGGGGGCAAATTCTGCCTTATAGAGGAGGGGGCAAATTCCTCATATGGGGGGGGGGGGGGCAAATTCTGCCATATAAGGGGGGGGGGAACTTCTGCCATATAGGGGGGGGGGGCAAATTCTGCCATATAGAGGAGGGGGGAGGGCAAATTCTGCTATAATGGGGGGGGGGATTCTGCCATATAAGGGGGAGGGGGCAAATTTCTGCCATATACATACAGGGGGCAAATTTTGCCATATATAGGGGGGGGGGAGTAATTGCATGCATGAGGGGGGGCTGTGCTGCAGCAAATCCCATGTAATGCATGCAGTTGGGGGGGGATGTGCCGCAATCCAAATGAATGTGTGCCGTTGGGGGATTGTTATATCCCATGTAATGCCAGTTAGGGGGGCTGCAAACCCATGTAAATGCATGCAGTTGGGGGGGGCTTGCAAACCCATTAATTTTGTTACTTGCGATCCCATGTAATGCATGCAGTTTGGGGGGGCTGCAATCCCATGTAATGCATGCAGTTGTGGGGGGGGGGGGCTGCGATCCCATGTAATGCATAGCAGTTTGGGGGGGGGGGGGGGGGCTGCAATCCCATGTAATGCATCCCCATCAGTTGGGGGGGGGGGGCTGCGATCCCATGTAATGCAAGCAGTTGTGGGTGGGGGGGCTGCGATCCCATGTAATGCATGCAGTTGGGGGTGGGGGGGGGGGCTGCGATCCCATGTAATGCATGCAGTTGTGGGGGGGGGGGGGGCTGCGATCCCATGTAAATGCAAATGGGGGGGGGGGCTGCGATCCCATGTAATGCATGCAGTTGGGGGGGGGGGGCGATCCCATGTAATACAGTTGACACCAATGCGATCCCATGTAATGCATCACCATGCCTTGGGGGGGGGGGCTGCGATCCCCATGTAATGCATGCAGTTGGGGGGGGGGGCTGCGATCCCATGTAATGCAATCCATGCAGTTGGGGGG